TTGTGGATGTCGCCCAAGTGAATATTTGTCCAGGTAGTTGGAGATTCTGACCAGAAATTTGGTTTGTTCACCTTTTGTCGGGGTTGAAAAGGGTGATTTGTCGTCCGTCGATGCTTATGACCAATTTCTGGTCAAATGGTCTTGGGTCCTCTGCCGTTAGACTGGATAAATAACCGGGATCAATACCCTTTACGTGCTTTCTCGCTCCGTCCGTCGTGTTGAATTAGTGTTTCTTGCCGCCGACCAAAAAATTCCCAGCATGCAACGCGCGCTTTTGTCAACAATGAAACTCGCCTGTACTTTCATGGTTGGAAATGACGACCTCACACTAATAACGCGTTAGGTTAAACTGTGAATCGTGAGCGACTGTGTCCGAATCGTTTCCCTTCTGGATCGATAAAGTTTGTCGGTTTCTGTAATATCCGGTAAAGACCATTCGCAGCGGCAGGGAGATGTTTCTACAGTTTCTTTAACGATGTTACAGCAGGATTCACATCATCAGGGCGACACGGTGTTGGGAGTAACGTGTTGTAAAAGTAAAAAGTGACTGGAATGTGTTGCTTTTTGTTGTGACGCAGTAATGTGGATTTACAGGGGAAACATGTTTTAAATATTTTACAAATATTACAAATGTGAGTTGCATTTTTAACCTGGACTGAAGTGGTGGGTTTTTGGTTTTTCTTCAAACAAATTTACTAAAATCACGGCAGCGGTGAACATTGATCGGTTCGTTACGGTTCTGAGTGTCGGGGTGGGCCCTTAGTCCTGGTTTAGTCCTGGTTTAGTCCTGGTTTGGTCCTGGTTTAGTCCTGGTTTGGTCCTGGTTTAGTCCTGGTTTAGTCCTGGTTTAGACCTGGTTTTAGTCCTGGTTTAGTCCTGGTTTAGTCCTGGTTTGGTCCTGGTTTAGTCCTGGTTTGGTCCTGGTTTGGTCCTGGTTTAGTCCTGGTTTAGTCCTGGTTTAGACCTGGTTTAGTCCTGGTTTAGACCTGGTTTAGTCCTGGTTTAGTCCTGGTTTAGTCCTGGTTTAGTCCTGGTCCTGGTTTAGGGTTTAGTCCTGGTTTAGACCTGGTTTAGTCCTGGTTTAGACCTGGTTTAGTTTTTAGACCTGGTTTAGTCCTGGTTTAGATCCTGGTTTAGACCTGGTTTAGTCCTGGTTTAGTCCTGGTTTAGACCTGGTTTAGTCCTGGTTTAGTCCTGGTTTAGTCCTGGTTTAGACCTGGTTTAGACCTGGTTTAGTCCTGGTTTAGTCCTGGTTTAGTCCTGGTTTAGACCTGGTTTAGTCCTGGTTTAGACCTGGTTTAGTCCTGGTTAGTCCTGGTTTAGACCTGGTTTAGTCCTGGTTTAGTCCTGGTTTAGTCCTGGTTTAGACCTGGTTTAGTCCTGGTTTAGTCCTGGTTTAGACCTGGTTTAGTCCTGGTTTAGTCCTGGTTTAGTCCTGGTTTAGTCCTGGTTTAGACCTGGTTTAGTCCTGGTTTAGACCTGGTTTAGTCCTGGTTTAGTCCTGGTTTAGACCTGGTTTAGTCCTGGTTTAGACCTGGTTTAGTCCTGGTTTAGTCCTTTAGACCTGGTTTTAGACCTGGTTTAGTCCTGGTTTAGACCTGTCCTGGTTTAGTCCTGGTTTAGTCCTGGTTTAGTCCTGGTTTTAGACCTGGTTTAGACCTGGTTTAGTCCTGGTTTAGTCCTGGTTTAGTCCTGGTTTAGACCTGGTTTAGACCTGGTTTAGTCCTGGTTTAGTCCTGGTTTAGTCCCCCCGGCTGTGGCCCACTGTACATGTGGTGTAAACAGTAGGTGTGTGATTTCAGTCCCGTCACGGAGCCTCTGTTTACCTCCAGCTCATCTTACATAAGCTTCAGATTTTACTCAGTATTTACCCCGTGAACTGTGTCGACATATTAAAGAGACTCTGCGTAACATTCTGAATCCCATAATCACTTTTGTTAAATTATCTTTACGTTCCTGTTCCTGTGGAGGTGGGTTTTCCTCGGGTCCTGAGCGCAACAAAATGCACCACAAACTTAAAATGCTTCTCTCTGATCTGAACGGTCTCTCCCTAAACCCCAGCACCTGCAGCCAACATGAGTCCGAGCTGGTGGATGATTATTATTTGGTCAAGAATGTTCTGAAATACAACATTAAACCTGTTTGTGTCCATGGAGACGATGAGCAGATGATGCACTCGGCTCAGTCTCAGGTCAGATGTTTTTAAGTCTGCTTAAAGGTGCACTGTGGAATGTGTTATGTGGAAACAAAAAGATCAGTTTTGCACAGAGTAACCAGATTTTCAAAATTAAAAACTGGGACATGCCGGTTTGGGGCAATTGGTAATCATAAAATTGTGAAACAAGAGCGTAATTAAGGAAAATTGTTCTGTCTTCTACCCGTTCATGACTAATGTGAGTCCGTACAGTCACATTTTCTTTGTGTTTTGGTCGTTTTTAAGCAGCTTTTCTGTCTTTTACCTAAACAGATGTCAGTTTCTGTCTCAGACTCGGACTCGAGCACATTTGGACTGAGTCTTGAAGGAGCTCGGACTTGGTCTTGTCTTGGTCTTGTCTCGGTCTTCAAGGATCTTGGACTCGGTCTTGTCTCGGTCTTGAAGGAGCTCGGACTCGGTCTCCTCTTGGTCTTGAAGGAGCTCGGACTCGGTCTCGGTCTTGAAGGCTCGGTCGGTCTTGGTCTTGAAGGAGCTCGGACTCGGTCTTGTCTCGGTCTTGAAGGAGCTCGGACTCGGTCTCCTCTTGGTCTTGAAGGAGCTCGGATTGGGTCTTGTCTTGGTTTTGTCTCGGTCTTGTAGGACCTCGGACTCGGTCTTGTCTTGGTTTTGAAGGAGCTCGGACTCGGTCTTGTCTTGGTTTTGTCTCGGTCTTGAAGGAGCTTGGACTCGGTCTTGTCTTGGTTTTGTCTCGGTCTTGAAGGAGCTTGGACTCAGTCTTGTCTCGGTCTTGAAGGAGCTCAGACTCGGTCTCCTCTCGGTCTTGAAGGAGCGTGGACTCGGTCTCGTCTCGGTCTTGAAGGAGCTCGGACTTGGTCTTGTCTTGGTTTTGTCTCGGTCTTGAAGGAGCTTGGACTCGGTCTTGTCTTGGTTTTGTCTCGGTCTTGAAGGAGCGTGGACTTGGTCTTGTCTCGGTCTTGAAGGAGCTCGGACTCGGTCTTGTCTTGGTTTTGTCTCGGTCTTGAAGGAGCTCGGACTCGGTCTCCTCTCGGTCTTGAAGGAGCGTGGACTTGGTCTTGTCTCGGTCTTGAAGGAGCTCGGACTCGGTCTCCTCTCGGTCTTGAAGGAGCTCGGACTGGGTCTTGTCTTGGTTTTGTCTCGGTCTTGAAGGACCTCGGATTCGGTCTCGTCTCGGTCTTGAAGGAGCTCGGACTCGGTCTCCTCTCGGTCTTGAAGGAGCTCGGACTCGGTCTCCTCGGTCTTGAAGGAGCTCGACTCGTCTCTCTCGTCTTGAAGGAGCTCGGACTCGGTCTCTCTCGGTCTTGAAGGAGCTCGGACTCGGTCTCTCTCGGTCTTGAAGGAGCTCGGACTCGGTCTCCTCTCGGTCTTGAAGGAGCTCGGACTCGGTCTCCTCTCGGTCTTGAAGGAGCTCGGACTCGGTCTCCTCTCGGTCTTGAAGGAGCTCGGACTCGGTCTCCTCTCGGTCTTGAAGGAGCTCAGACTCGGTCTCCTCTCGGTCTTGAAGGAGCTCGGACTCGGTCTCCTCTCGGTCTTGAAGGAGCTCAGACTCGGTCTCGTCTCGGTCTTGAAGGAGCTCGGACTCGGTCTCGTCTCGGTCTTGAAGGAGCTCGGACTCGGTCTTGTCTTGGTCTTTGTCTCGGTCTTGAAGGAGCTCAGACTCGGTCTCGTCTCGGTCTTGAAGGAGCTCGGACTCGGTCTCGTCTTCGGTCTTGAAGGAGCTCGGACTCGGTCTTGTCTTGGACTCGAGGTCTGACACTAATGTAACTCCAGTTAGGAACTTGAAAATACAGGGTTTTAAAAATCCTTTCTAGTTTTCTAGTTTTGTGTAAAGCGCCAGTGGAAGTTCTCAAAATGTGGTTGAGGGTCCAAAAAAGGAGCGTAGAACAGTACACTTCACTTGTCTTATTTTAAATTTCTTAGATTAACATTTACACACCGGGATCGGGCCGGGAGGAGGCCCCGGGGAAGATCCAGGACACACTGGAGGGACTGTGTCTCTGGACTGGCCTGGGAACACCTCGGGGTCCCCCTGGAGGAGCTGGAGGACGTGTCTGGGGTGAGGGAAGTCTGGGAGTCCCTGCTTAGACTGATGCCCCAACCTGGCCCCGGATAAAAGGAAGAAAATGGATGAATAGTTTAACATTTATCAGATCAAATGGAGATAGATTTATAAAAACACTGATATATTTGTGCCAAATAATAAGAAATTACAAAGATGGTCTTGGTCTGGGCCGATGGGCCGTGATCTCGGTCTTGTCTCGACCTCTAAAAGTCTTAAGTCTTGACTCGGGCTCAACCCTCAGAGGTCTTGGTCTTGTCCTGGTCTCGGACTGGTCTTGGTCTTGTCTCCAGCACAACGCTTTACTGTTGGCAGGGATTAAATTGGTCCAAAATACGGAAAACTTGGACATTTCTTGTATAAAACTTGGACAAATCAGTGGTTTTTGGATAAATCTGCAAGGACAGGGGACAAAGGCTCAAAACTGGGACTTTTCCAGGGTGAACGTGGACGTCTGGTCACACTAGTTTTGCAGGTAGAGGCTTGACATTGTTTAGTTTGTTTTGTTTTTCAAGTGAAAGTGTTTTCCTTCGATTCTTCCGCTTCGTTCGAGCATCCGTCCGGGACATAGATAAGCTTTAACTCACGCTCCACTTTTGTCGATGGCTTAATCTTTTTTTTTTTCCAGCAAACACTTGTACAACGCTTTACGTAACGCGTCGTGTTTACCACTCGCACGCTCCGCCCCGCGCGCCCTCCCATTGGCCGACGCGCTCCGTGAAATACCTCGCGTGCAGCTCCCGTCCCGCAGACACGCCGCTCTACGCGAACACCGAACACAGAACTCAGACTCTCGCGGGGATTTTTTTTTAATTTTACGCAGCGTCCCCGGTCCGGATCGGCGCAGACATGAGCGGCAGAGTGCGGCTGGTGCGCACCGTGATGCAGGCGGCGGCGCTCGCGAACGTCCCCAAACACATCGACCACTTCTCCAAGTTCTCCCCATCCCCGCTCTCCATGAAGCAGTTTCTGGATTTCGGTGAGTGAAACTAAGATTTCGAGCAGCTAATTGACCTGAAGTGGTGTTTTTGTTTTAGGTTTAATAGTTTCATTCCGGAAAAAAACAAAATCTAGTCAAGTGAAGATGGCTTGAAAGTTTGATCAGGATTTGAGTAAATTTCACTTCACAAGTAAAATTTACAATATCTGTGCAAGTTAAATCGACTTTAATTAACGACATTTGAATTTATTTTGAGTCGAATCAACTTGGCAAGTAAAATGATCGACCAATGGAATAAGTATTTTCATATTTTAACTACAAAATTTTAATTTCAAGACTCAAATCGTGATCAAACTTGCTTAATTCAAGTCGTCTTAACTTTACTAGATTTTGTTTTTTTGCAGAGAATGATAATAATGCTCATTTTTTAAGACAGTATAATGGAATTTTTGACACAAAATAATCATTACTTGACAGTTTTATGTGAGTTTTAATAAAGCTGTAAGACTGTTTGTTCTGTTTAAGTCATATTTTTTAGTATTGACACGTCTTCAGATGTTTTGGTTTGGTTTTGGGATCGATTAGTGTCTGATTTTCGATATTTTTGACAAACCGACTCTGCACTCCTGGTCTGTGTGTGCTTCTCACTGGAAAAAAACAATATCTTGGTAAATTAAAATGTCTTAAATTAAGAATATTTGACTTTATTTGAGTCGATTCAACTTGGCAAGTAAAATGATCGACCAATGGAATAAGTATTTTCATATTTTAACTACAAAAAGTCTTAAAATTTAAATTTCAAGACTCAAATCATGATCAAACTCTTAATTCAAGTCGTCTTAACTTGACTAGATTTAGTTTTTTTGCAGAGAATCATAATAATGCTTAATTTTTTAGACAGAATAATGGAATTTTCAACACAAAATAATCATTACTTTATGGTTTTATGTGAGTTTTAATAAAGCTGTAAGACTGTTTGTTCTGTTTAAGTCATATTTTTTAGTATTGACACGTCTTCAGATGTTTTGGTTTGGTTTTGGGATCGATTAGTGTCTGATTTTCGATATTTTTGACAAACCGACTCTGCACTCTTCATCTGTGTATGTTTCTCACTGGAAAAAAACAACATCTTGGTAAATTAAAATGTCTTAAATTAAGAATATTTCACTTTATTTGTGTCGATTCAACTTGACAAGTAAAATTTTCCTCCAATGGAATAAGCAACATTCGATTTTGTTTCGTATTTTAAGTGCAAAAATGTGTTGTTTTTCTTATTTTAAGTGGAGCAAGTTGTATTTTCATATTTTAACTACAAAAAGTCTTGTTCCACTGTCAGATCATTTTACTCGTCAAGTGAAATTTACTCAAATCATGATCAAACTTTCTTAATTCAAGTTGTCTTAACTCGACTATGATTTTTGTGCGGTGTACTTAAAATATGAAAATACGTCTCGCTGCACTTAAAATAAGAAAAGCAACAACTTTTTGCACTTAAAATAAGAAACAAAATCGAATGTTGCTTGTATCGACTCAAATAAACTCAAATGTTCTTAATTTAAATCATTGTAACTGATCTAGATCTTGTTTTTGTCCAGTGATGACAGTGTTGGGAAGGTGACTTTTAAAATGTAATCCCCTACAGATTACAGATTACACAGATTACACACCCCAGAATGTAGTTTGTAACAGAATCCATTAAATTACTTAAAGTGAGTAATGTAATCTGAATACTTTGGATTACTTGATTTGCTGTAGAGAAACAAAGACGAGGAAATCTTCACTTAAGATGTTTTGTCTGATAAAAGAAAATAAAAAAGCCCAGATTTTACTGAACCAAATTAAAAATATTATTGATAGAAGAAGAAGAAACACGTCCACACAGCAGGATTTAGTCCTGTTAAATCCTGTTTTAGTCCTGGTTCAGTCCTGGTTTAATCCTGTTTTAGTCCTGTTTTAGTTGTGGTTTTAGACCTGGTTTAGACCTGGTATAGTTCTGGTTTAGTCCTGGTTTTAGACCTGGTTTTAGTCCTGGTTTTAGACCTGTTTTAGTCCTGGTTTTTAGTCCTGGTTTTAGACCTGGTTTTAGACCTGGTTTTAGAGCCTGGTTTAGTCCTGGTTTTAGTCCTGGTTTTAGTTAGTCCTGGTTTAGTTTTTTAGTGGTTTTAGACCTGGTTTAGTTCTGGTTTAGTCCTGGTTTTAGTTTTTAGTCCTGGTTTTAGTCCTGGTTTTAGACCTGGTTTTTAGTCCTGGTTTAGTCCTGGTTTAGTCCTGGTTTTAGTCCTGGTTTTAGACCTGGTTTTAGTCCTGGTTTTAGACCTGGTTTTAGACCTGGTTTTAGTCCTGGTTTTAGACCTGGTTTTAGACCTGGTTTTAGAGTCCTGGTTTAGTTCTGGTGGTTTAGTCCTGGTTTAGTCCTGTTTTAGTTCCTGGTTTTAGTCCTGGTTTTAGACCTGGTTTTAGTCCTGGTTTTAGTTCCTGGTTTAGTCCTGGTTTTTAGTGGTTTTAGACCTGGTTTTAGTCCTGGTTTTAGTTTCTGGTTTAGAGTCTAGTTTAGACCTGGTTTTAGTTTTTTCCGGTTTAATGAGTGGAATTACTGAGAGAAAAGAAAAAAAAAAGAAAAAAAAAAAAGGGATATAGTCCAAAATGTGAAAACAGGAAAATCCCTCTGTGTAATCCATTTATTTCAACAAAGTAACTGTAATCCATTTATTTCAACAAAGTAACTGTAATCCATTTATTTCAACAAAGTAACTGTAATCCAATTCCCACTCACTGAAACAGTAACTGTAACTGAATACAGTTACTCATCATTTGTACTCTGATTACATAACTCTGGTACATGTAATCTGAGTACTGGTGTAATTGATTGGACAAGCTTCTGTTAATTGTTGTTTTAATCAAAGTACAAAGACAAACACACGTGTGGCTGGTTTATTGTGACCAGATTTTCAAAAAGCAAAAACTGGGAAACTCCCGGTTTGTGTTGTTGGTAACAGAGCCGGGACCAAGTCGTTGTTTTGCGAGTCTCAAGTCTTGGACCTCAAGTCTGAGTCAAGTCTCAAGTCAAATAGAGGAAAGTCCAAGTCGAGTCTCGAGTCACTGACGCCTAAATCCAAGTCAAGTCCAAGTCGTCCACTTTGAGCCTCAAGTCTTTTTAAGTCTCTAAACCAAAGAACCAAATATATCTTAGAATTTTGCATTTTATATGATTTTTAAACTAAATTGTACTTAAAAAGTCATGGCATATTTATAACTAAAGATTTATTTAAGAGTTGTAGAAATGCTTTTTTTTTTTTTTTTTCTTTTTTAAATGTTTTGACAAGATCTTAGTGTCAGAACAGAAAGAATTCAGAGCTTAATAAGTTATTTTGTCGTGAAGGATCATGTTTGTAGTCAGGCTGGCGCCACCTAGTGTCTCCACTCAATTTCATTTCTCTCCAGCGACTAGGTCAGGAATCAGAAAACACTAGACGGTTCGCAAAAACCGCGTCGGGCGCATCGACCAATCAGCAAAGAGACAGACATTCTGTGTTGGCAACAATTCCCGAGATCGAGGATTTAAAGACGGAACGAAGGGAATGTTTGGTGAATTTTATCAAGAGGAAAGACGTTATTGTTCTTCTTCCTACAGGATTTGATGCGTTACAAACGTCACGACCAAACAGCAGCGATTGGTTAGATAAAAAAAAGTACTCGCCTACTGTCGAGCGAATCCTAATGCGTTTGTTTTGTGTTTTGCAGGTTCGACCAACGCCTGTGAGCGCACGTCGTTCGCGTTCCTGCGTCAGGAGCTCCCCGTGCGTCTCTCCAACATCATGAAGGAGATCAACCTGCTGCCCGAGCGCCTCCTCACCACGCCGTCCGTCCAACTCGTGCACCAGTGGTACGACCCAAACACCACCGACAACTTACACTTACACAAACTTTATTTATTTTACCCACAAGGGAAAAGATTTAGACGCAGCAGCTCACAGATCAAAATATTTTATAATAACAAAGAGCGAAAATATAAATGTTAATATTATAAATTCTAAATAAATTGCAAAAAAAAGCAAGAGACACGACATAGTTTTACAAATTTTAATGTATAAATCAAAATAAAATAGAAAAATAAGTATTTGAATATAAAATCTCAACTATGTACAAGAAAAATTCACAGGAAAACGAGATATTTATGAATAGGGGTGTGCAAAAATATCAAAATAATCGATATGTCGTATCGTTTAATGTGATGATACAGATCGATATCGTGGGCTGCTGTATCGATATATCGCCAAGAGTATTTTTTGGTGCATTTTACAATTTTTTTTTTGTTTGTTCAGTGGAAGGAAACTCGTTTATGCGACACATTTGACATTTTCACTGTTTTGAGGATTAAAATGTTTGTGTTTCTTCTGAACTTTGCACAAGAAGAAGTGGTTTAACAAAGACTTTTAGTATCACAGACATGACTTAACCTTTATTTTTTACTGAACTGTATCGAATCTGTTTAAAAATATATCGTATTGAATCGAAAGTGCACTGTTATCGAGATATTTATCGTATCGGCAACTTCTTCACGATACCAGCCCTAATTATAAAGGTCGTATATTTCACAAAAATGACTCTTGTGAGCTTTAAAGGTGCATTGTGTAACTTTTCTGGTGGAGGATCTGTCAAACGCTCGTCTCCATGGAGATGTTTGTTGCACGGAATTAAAGAGTTGTGGTCAGATCTGCGGAGAGGCGACGTCGCTCACAGTCAGAGCGTTTGTTTTTCTAGGGATTTTTGAGCTTTAAAACCACCTGGAACTGAATAAATGTAAAATGGATCATAGATAATGGTCTGGTCCCGGTCTTAGTCCTGGTCTCAGTCCCGGTCTCAGTTCTGGTCCATTCCCTGTCTAACTCCTTGTCTGGTTCCAGTCTCAGTTCTGGTCTCAGTCCTGGTCCGGTCCAGGTCTCAGTTCCGGTCTCAGTCCTGGTGCTGTTTTCGGTCTCATTCCTGGTCTCAGTACCGGTCTGGTCTCAGTCTCAGTCCTGGTCTTAGTCCCGGTCTCAGTCTTGGTCTGGTTCTGGTCTCAATTCTGGTCTCAGTTCCTGTCTAGTCTAGTCCAGTCCAGTCTCAGTCCTGGTCTCAGTCCTCAGTCCTCATCTGGTTCTGGTCTCAATTCTGGTCTCAGTTCCTGTCCCGGTCTTAGTCCTGGTCCTGTCCAGGTCTCAGTCCTGGTTTCAGTCCTGGTCTGGTTCAGGTCTGGTCCCGGATCTGGTTTCAGTCCTGGTCTTGGTCCCCGTCTGGTTCTGGTCTCAGTCCTGATCTTGGTCCCGATTTGGTCCCTGTCTCAGTTCTTGTCTCAGTCCCGGTCTGGTTCTGGTCTGGTCCGGGACCTGGTTTAGTCCTGGTTTAGTCCTGC